ATGATTTGAAAATCTGGAGGATCATTAAAAACCAGGACGACTGCGCTCGCCTCCAGCAGGACTTAGAACGACTGTCAACGTGGTCCACTGAAATGCAACTCCCTCTTAACGCAAGCAAGTCGGAGTTCATCAGTATCACCAGACGTCCAGCCACTTGATCATACACCTTGGACGGCCAGTTGCTCCATCCCAACACATCTGTCAGAGACTTAGGAGTTCTCTCACGACATGATTTAAGATGACTAGAAAATACAGAGAAATTGTACCGTGCGGGACTTCGTATGCTCTGGGCATTACGACGCAGTTTCTCCACATGGTCCGAAGAAACTGTCCCTCGTCTATTCACCTCGCTCATTAGACCAATCCTTGAATATGATGCTCCAGCTTACCATCCGATAACCCAATGGGAAACTGAAAAACTGGAGAAAATACAGCATATCGCAACTAGAATGATACCAAGTCTACGAAAGCTTCCATATGAAAAACGTTGTGAAAAGCTCGGACTCTACACAGTATCCTATCGCCGAGTAAGAATTGATCTTATTATGACCCATCGAGTACTACACTTGAATCACTTCCCCATACTGCGGCCAATATTTCACCTGCGAGAACCCTGTAACACCCGAGGACATCGTTACAAACTCAGGGTCCCCAGCATGAACAAAGTATCACATCAGCTTTGTATCGAACGAAGAATCGTAAATTTATGGAATACACTACCAGAAGGATTAATAGAGGCCGATTCTGTGAAGTGTTTTAAAACCCGTATCGACGATTATTTTGGAAACCTGTGCTTTTGTGAAACGATGCACATACAGTGCCAAAAGAAGACATTGTATGTCCGGAAATAATGACGCTAGTACAAATTTCTAACCGAACATGGCTAAACGATTAACGGACCAGACAAACTGCTGATAATTCACAAGTAAATTTTGATTTTTCGTAATTCGATAGAGTTGTACAGAAACCTTTCTACTTGCTCTTAAAAACAGTCTCAGTGTCAATCATTGCGTCATCCAGTATACTGCGACCCCGGGATATCGTTCAGCAGCGTATCCATGATTTGTTGACAAATGGCAGGAGCAGTTTTCACTCCGAATGGCAACCGATTGTACTGGAAAAGACGCAGATGCGTGTTGACCGTCAGTAGTGTTTTGCAGTTCTCGGCTACTGGAATTTGTAAGTAAGCATCAGCTAAATCGAGTTTCACAAACCGTTAAGGTTGGTGAACAAATCTTCAGGTATAGGCAAAGGGTACTGGTGGTTCTCCAACGTGGAATTTAACCCGGTTGGAAAGTCAGCACAAATACGTACCTTGCCGTTTCCTTTCTTTACCACAACGATTGGTGCTGCCCATTCTGAGTAATGTACGCGCTCGATTATGCCTTTCGACTGCAACCGATTTAACTCAGACTCCACTATTGGTTGTGTTGCGTACGGCACTGAACGTTTTGGATTGAGCTTCAGCTCAACTCTGGCTATCCGACAGCATCCAAGACCGGGTTGGAACAAACTTTCGTGGCGTCGCTTCAGTTCTACGATTTGACTGTAAAGTTCGGGGTTCATATTCTGCGTCTCTGCAGGTTTCTTGACTTGTTATTTCTGGCATTACTGCTAACTGACTGGTCAAGTAATTTCAATTCCTCCATCCAATCGAGATCCAGCAAATTCAATCCTTATTGATCTGTCACAAAACAGGTTGTACGAATGTGTTGATCACGGAAACTGATCTGACAATGCAACTCTCCGAGAAGTTTCAGAATACCGCCGGATGCGTTTCGTGCTGTGTGGTCTGTGTGGACAAGCGGTGGTCGTCACAGCATACACCATATGTGTGGACACATCAAAGTGATGTCTGACGCAGTATCCAGCTGCAGCTTAACTTCCTTATCATTGATCTTTAACATTGTAAACTTACGCCTGCTGACACCGTCAACCTTGAAAGTCGCCGTCACAGTTTTAGCCTCGTTGTGACATCGGAAGCGCACTGGGATTCGACGCTGTATTCCGCTGATTGTTGGTCGCTTCGCAAGACAACACGGCTCTGTGTCCTCGCTTACCACAGCGATTGCGAATGTGATTTCGGAACGGGCAGTTTCGACCAAAGTGCCATTCCCTGTAAAACCAACAAGCAGAAGAGGGTTTAGAATGTGGTGAACTCACTTGAACCGATTCTTTCTGAGGACTTCTGCTGACCCTGCAAATGATGTCCTGACTACTCTGGATAGAGGACTGTTGGATCATTGCAGCATCATGCTTCAAGTTCATCAACCGTTGGCATTCGTTCGTCACTTCCTGCAGTGTGATCTCGGGATTTTGTTCACTTCTGCTCAGTACTCTTGTTCGGGCATCAGCATCTTTGGTTGCTTGAAGACCACACATAAATAAGGCACTTGTACTGATCAGCTGTCATCTTGTGAAACAGCGACCGTTCACACTCACGATTTACGCAACTCGAGTAAGTAACCCAGTCTTCGTCGTCTCGCTTGGTCATTGTAAGGCACTTGTATCCGATATTGAATAATGACGACTGCTCCCCAAATATCTGGGACAAAGTGGTAACCGCTTCTTCGAGTGTTAAATCAGTGCTCTTTTTCGGCAAAACGGAATTCATAAACTTTTCATGCTCGGCCGCACCAAATTTCCGCAGCATGAGGCGAACTCTCTTGTCCTCTGAAGCACCCGCTAAATCAACGCGAAACAAGTCTTCGTATTTATGGAATCACGATTCAAAGGTAATACCGGCATCGGCATCGTAACGGAACTCACAAACTTGCTGGGTCAAGGTTTCTGCTGAGGGGCAACGTTCACTTGTTCCTGTTACCGAGCCTGCTTGTAGTGACACATTCTTGGTCAGCGTTTCGATCAACTTGGCCTGTGCTTTTTCAAACTGCGCATGCTGTTGCTGCAACAGAGTCTGCAATTGCTCAAAATTGACATCTTTAGGTTCTTCTGACTCCTGTCGCCACTGTTGTAAAGCTGACTTCGTACTGCTGCTATTCTGCGCCTGCGAGACTACGACCGCCTGATGGCTCAGTCACGCGCCCAACCAACTGACCGGATACAGCAAGCTAAGGCTCGGTAAACAGGGAATCTATTCTACACGATCGGTCAGTTCTATTTATTGCTGAACGATACATACTAATTTTAGAAGCGTTTGGCTCTCATCCAATGTGAGTTAATTCCGTCCCACGGATTTTCCATATTTGGCAGAATGGTTCGCCTCCGTGGACTCGGGCTTGTATTTGCTGGCCAACCAGTTTGCACCAGATTCCCAAATTTGGCACAACAGTCGAAGGTCGTTCCACGCTCGTGCTGGTGACCTTCGCAGACAGCTCACGTGCTCCGCGGTAAGCCTGTGCGCGACCTCGTATCTGGACATTGGTTCCGCTTACCACTCTATTACCTTCGTGGTCCCTTTTGTAAGTGACTGAAGCGTACCCTTAACCACTTCATCACTCCTAGCCCTATCTAGGCGGCAAAACACCAGCACTGTTGTAATGATATTAATGTTTGTGTCACTCTTGGTAACGGCACATCATACCCTTCCCCTCCTCTTTCCTCTCATCCACGCAATCTATTCGACCGCCCTGGTACTGAGTATTATCTTGAACGCCTTGCTCTGTCGTATCGCTGCTCTCGCCCCTACTCTATGCACTCCTACCCAGCCGGGAGAGAAACAAAACACCGAAGCTTATTAGGCACAGAACACGGTTCATTTTACAGGTCGCAATCTATCATCTGCTGTTGTACGTTCATGAGCTGACTCAAGCCACTTTCCTGGACAGATTTCAAACCTGACTGCAGTTCGCACTGGGCAGGTGTAGTCGCGCTCACGCTTGCTTTTCATATAGCAACCTGTTTCATACTGACGGACCGATTTTTCATCAGCTTCCGGTTTGACCATGGCAACCAGTCTGTCAGCCGCTCACGTAGACTGGCTAATCTCGCCCTGCTAGTGTTCACTATCGTAGTCAGTCGTTTCGCCTCCGTGATATGCTCAAAGGCACCTAGGTTTGGTTTCAAGAAGATCATCTTGAGACACGTCTCCACACCAACGCGATCACCATCTCGTCTTGAAAAGATGAATTTGTGGTGCTTCCGTCAAGTAGCAACGAACTTCCCGGTTTCACTTGTTTAGAGTCTGGTTATCTTTACACGAGGCTAACTTGGCATATTACTTAGTTACAGTGACAACATCACTTCACCCGTAAGGTCTGCTCGCCAGCGACTTTTCACACCACCTTGTTCATCGGCCGTACCGATCTCACAAGCCCCGTTTCATTTACTTTGTCGGCTCGATCCGTCTCGAATTGGCGACGCCAGCTGCGAGTGTTGGGGAAGTTGTTAGCTTGCTGTTTGACTCTGAGACATGAAGTAGCTGGACCCAAACTATATTGAGTAGGATGTCCCTAACTTTGAGATAGCGATTTCGCATCCCACAATCACACAAGACTAGAAGCGCTGTCAGACGTAGTCAAGGACCATGCTATAACATCGCCAGTTGTTATACTTTGGGTTCGTTGCTTAGCATACACATCTTTACACTTACAGTTGCTCCACCTGCAAATTCGCTGGCACTTGGCTCCATCTCACCACTTTTGAAAACGGTCGCCGCGTGTTCTAGCGGGGGTTTCCACAAGCAGCCGGCGTACGTTGGCACTGGTTGACTATTATTATGGGTAAGAAAGGTGTCATCTGTGCTGTATACCGATGCTTCACTACCGCGCAACCACCAGCAGGCTGGGAAATTACGACGGTCTCAACTACATAGGGTTAAAAAAGAACCCATAGGTTACAAGCCAGATGTCCGAGCTACTCCGCCAACGGCTAGCCTCGCTTTTCACAATCGCTTGTTCACGTCAAAAGAGAGACTCATCTGTTTGCTGGTCCATTTGGTGATGAAGTAACGAGTGTAACGACGCATAGAGCTGGTCAGATTCTGAACTTCGCTGCAAGCACATTTTCTAATATACCGTTGATATCTGATTTCCTTTCAGACGTGGACTCTTCCCTCGTTATGCTCAAATTATTTGGGCCAAAATCCCCTCATTCCGTTGGTGGCCTTGTGAAATCATCCATGCCCGAAATGCACCAATCAACATACTGAACATGTCCCACCCGGAAGGCACCTTCCCAGTACATTTTTTGGGCTCAGACGAGTACCAGTGGGTGTGTCGTGGTGCAGTGTTTCCCTACGAAATCGGCCTCAGAACGTCGGCTGCTAAAGACAGCCACGGAACCAAAAGCGTGGAGAAAGCTTTCACTCGTGGTAACCTCTTTATTCCCGTTTTCTTTGGCGTTTTTTCTGTTTTAGCCTACCTAATCCCATACATTTGCCTGTCCTCTTTTCCGTCCAATGATGATGACATTGGTGTACCACATTCAGCTTGTTTTTTGTCGTATAGTACAGTAGCTCACAGATTAATTTTATACGAATATGTGAGTGCTACTTAAACGTCGACCGTTGCTTGCGTGATCTTCCAATCACCACCTTTTGATGTGAGCGACAATCAGTGGAACTCTTCATAACAGATTATTTAAGTTTAGACACTTTCGCTGAGTTTTTCCTACGCTTCACAACAACACACTGACGATGTCGCCACGATTGTTGATGAAACGTTGGCAACAAAATTGCCAAGCTAAGCGAACAGTTCAACCGCCTTAAGCCCTTTCACTAGTATTTGTAATTTCATTGAGAATTTTGCGCCTGCCACTGTCTTTTTTCTTATCTCGCTGTGCCTCATTCTCCTCGTCATTTTCACTGCATATGACTTACCACCCATCTATCATCCAGCGAGTCGGCGGGTTGTCCACTAGCCATGTGGACCACTTCACTTCACTTACCATGCACTCCACCATTTCGATCGCATGTTCCCACTGCACTCCACTTGACACGTCGGGTATTGATTTCTTTTGCACTCTTGTTGCTATTAGCGGGTTTGTGTTGGAGCACTTACTGATGAACTCTCACCGAGTTCACGATGACAAATGGAGTGTCTCGGAGCTGTTTTGTTTCTCATTTCTTCACCAATTTGTGATGGAAATGGAAGACTCACTTCTGCTGTCGCACGTATATGTTGGTATGATCATCTTTGCGCAGCGAATTACCTCTTTGGGTCAGACGCAGCTGCTATGTAGGCGCTGTTGAACAGACTGATGCGTAGCACTAAACGCTTTGGTATGGGTTGTTTTCCCTCTACAATATGCAATACACAGTTACATGATGCGATTACCTCCAACTCCCACTATTACCAAAGAACCGCTGTAAATGATCGATCGGTTGGCTCGTCTAGATAGTTATACTACTTATGGAAGTCACATCGTCATTAAGTCTACTCTGTGTATTGGTGAGGCTCTTGTGGCTTTTCAAAGCGTCATTCATCTATAGCACCAACATGATGTAAACTCAGTGATTAACGGAATGGTTTACGTCGCGCTATGCGACCTAACTGTTGAGTATTGAGGACACTGACGATCGACGACTGTGGAACAATGCTAATATCTACTGGGGAGCCAAACGAATAATGCTGAAGGTCTTTATTTGGTGACGGCGAAGTTCTTGTGAAACCCGAGTCGTTTACGCTCACTGGGTCTTGTGCTCCGCATGCATTTAACTCGGCTGCTTCGGTGCATATTGTTTATCAACACTCCGCCCATTTAGTTGTAATGTTATCGCGAACAGTTATGGACATACCAGGGAGTATAAGGAGACTCACTAAAGGGCTAAGTAGCACTGTTGTGTGTTATCTCCCCAGATAGATTTCTTGGGATCATCCACACCAGTGGTTGGGTGTTCTGTCGAGTATAGTGTAGGCACCGAATGAGTGACGCTGTTACATTCGTTCCCTCATCTCTTAACTTTTCCACGTGATACTTTTGTTCTGTATTTATTCCCCACAACACGCTCATTCTCAGTATTACTACTAGGATTATTAACATATTGACAGCTTGAGTCATAGATAAATGAACGGAATATTCTTCGGTGGTGCGAGGCACAGTCTGAGTGGTCCGATCAGTTTGTACAGTGAGATCGTATAAAACAGATATTTGTTCACTTTTTGTACAGTGAATCCCAGACCGATTTTTAAAATGACTGGTAGGTTGAATGTACTAGAGAAATTGAAATACTGGGGACAATAACAAATGCAGTCTTAACCAAATGACCACTTATGGAATCGTCTCCAGGGGACATGCTTTCTTGCCAGAGATTTCTACGAAATATTTCGCCCGCACTTTTATGATCCATCGAGCTGTGTGCCGGTGTGGCAACATGGTAAGTAGACTACATCCTGTCTAACATATCCTAGGGCTGTTTTTATACATACATTAAGGGCGATCAGGCCACTTGGCCGGTTCCATCATTTGTCCATTTTGTGTATGATAGTCAGATCCATCAAAACTCCATGCACAGATCATATTTACCCAAACGATTGATGAAACATTAGCACATTTGATAATACTAATATTAACACTAATAACAATGTCTATTCTCCGATTTACAATTGTTTCTTATAATATTTACAGCATATCTCAGATGTCACGCAGAAATAAAAATTGTGATTTTAACACCCATGGTTATCCAGTTCAAAGCTTTGCATGGGCACTGAATAATTCACGTAGTTCTGACGGAGAGCTCCGTGTACAGACGGAACCAAGTTTTTTCTCTAAGTGAAGGATGAAGAACAATTGTGTGGTGATAAGAGAAACATTATAGCTGAAATTCTACTTATATGACATGTCCTCTGATTTGGGCTAAACATTTTCTATACACTATGGAGTTCTAAAAAGGAGTATAGATGAAGGTAGCTATTAATTTTCAGTTCAGCAGCTGTACCTATGGTCCGAGACAGATGGAATGGGAGATTTGTTTGTTGTGTGTGTGAAGCGAACGTGGTTAACACTTGTTAACTGGCTCAGGCATTTTGCTTTGATTGTACGCTAGGCGTGATCGAGTTCAGAGGAAAAACAAATGAGAAACATTAGAAGTAGGGATACAGCTCTTGGAAGCGGAATCGGTTAGCTACACCGTGCTGCCTGACATGTTTACTTGAGAGCAACATGGAAAGCACAGACGAGTAATAGGACGAATGGTAAAAGCGAGTGAAGATGGATAGATTCAGTCAGCGTTCCCTTCTCAGCTCACACTTTTCGGTATAGCTGCAAGGTAGGCGTGGCTGAGTAAGCACAGTGTGGAGGAGTTGGGACAAAAATGGTTATCTTAGTTCTCAATTCCTCTGCAGTCCACACTTGTTGGTGTATCTGTGAGTTATGCTTTCCCGAAGAAAGAAGGAAAGTGGGTCGGGGGAAGAAGAGTGAAGGGAGTTCTGGCAACATTATATCTTCTTTCCCATACACATCTTCAGGAGGGCTTGACCAAGTGGATGCAATATACGTAGCACATTTCATGTATATTTGTTATCAATGCACTTACGTCTCGGCCCCCTGTAGTGAAATTAAACGAGTCGGAATACGACGAGTGAGAAGAGTATGAACCCAATAGACTAGGCTTTATTCAGCAAGCAACTGAGGTAAATAAGTTGAACTGAAATACGGAAAGATTAGTATAAACGGGGTATTTATTTACTTTCGTTTTAGCAGCTGTAAATATGGGCGAGACAGATAGAATGGGAGACTTATCTGTTGTGTGTGAGGTGAACATGATTGACATTTCTGAACTGGCGCAGGTATTTTGGTATTATAACTGTACGCTAGGCGTAAGCGATTAAGAGATAATTTTTTTGAAACCGTGTAGAAGCTGTTGGAAGCAGAATCGGTTAGCTTCACCGTGCTACCTGACATGTCTACATGAGGACAACATGAGAGCATAGACGAGTAAGAGAAGCACGAATGATAAGTGAATGAAGATGGATCGATTCAGTCAGCGTTTCATTCACAGTTCAAACCTTTTGTGGCTGAGGGGGAGCCAGAAATGGTAATCTCAATTTCAGCTTGCACCTCCTCTGCAATCCACACTTAATGATGTGTTTGTGAGGCATGCTTTCCAGAATAAAGAAGGGAAGAAGGTTAGGCGAAGTAGAGTCAAGACAGTTCTGTCAACTTTTCACCGTTTTTCAATTCACTTCATGAGTGCCTGGCCAAGTAAATGCACCATGCATAGCACACTTTTTATATTTTAACCACTACATTTACATTTTGGCCACCTACTCAAATAGCATTTTTTCATTGCAATTTAGTTGCATCAATGCATTGCACCTTCAAGCGGTCTGAAATCGCTCTTTTAAGCACTGGTTGTGATTCGCATGCTCTTATTACGATAGTAAGTCTTCCAGATCTCAGTTTATCTGTCTGGATAGAATTTTCTTCGAACATTAGTTCCCGATAACTTTACCTAAGCCCCGTCCACAGCTTGAATTGTGATTTTTCTCACACCTCTATCTTCATTCTTCACGTGGTAGCCCTCCAGCGCGCCCCATTGGCTCATCAGTTGTACGTGAATCACGTACTCAAGCGTGGTCTTCCACTCAAATCAATGCACGCGGACCCATTACCCGAGGAAGACCTGTTACCTCCCGCATCTATGGAGGTGGATATCGTGGTTCATCCGAAGTTGGACGAAGAGCACAGGGCGGTCGCGATGGCCGGAGTGACGCATATCGAGAGCAACATCTTCCCGGATGATTTGTGGCCTACGGTAAGTCCACTGCACCGACCATTGTAGTTACTCAATTGAACACCCCGTCTCTTGTTATTTCATGGAATAAATGATACGCAGCACCCACTGTCAGGTTTCGCTGTAGCCTTTGGACATCGTGTTCTGTTTTCACAGTCACCACAGTTGCATAATGGGATCTGATAGACACATTTTTGTCTTGTGATCTAAATAGTCTACTCTATGTGGTCGGCAATGTCCTCACTGTGTAAAGCAACCGCGATTCATCCCCAATTGTACATTGCGTATCACTATTACGTTTCTCCACGCTCACAACGTCGAATCTTTCATTATGGTTGCAATTTGTCCCTGGATCCTTGTCAGCCTGAGGGCCAAGGTATCCATCTGGCAGCACCGGATCCACCGGTTTCCGTTCCAAGCTGACTGTTTTTAGGAAGTCAACGTATCAAATTTAGGATGAAGGTAAATGTTGTGCTTCTCCTATTACGTTCACTGTGAGTTTGAGAAGTGACCCGACGCGAGACGCTTCTCCGTGGGACGTTCTTTACCACCAGATTTGTTTTCTTTGCTATCCGTCCTTTTTCACACACCCGCTAGTCCAAATGATTTCCAATATTTTAATTTCTCACGAAAGATTCGCAAAGCAATCGAACAACGGATACCTACTACATCTTGTGGTTGCGCCGATGGACCTGATGGGTCCTCTCTCCACTGTTCCAAAGAAACCAACTGCCTTCATGTCGCCCATGGAGCGGATTGCACCCCGGAATTCTGCTCCTTCGGCCCTATCGATTGTGGGAACAGACGATTTGCGAAGTGGACTACCTTGTCTGAGAGTGACCGAGTGACTGTGTTTCGCACCGTCAATCGAGGTTTCGGACTTAAAGCCAACCTGGCATTTGAGACCGTAAGTTATCTGCGGTACCTTTCTAACTCACATCTCATGTTTTAGTCGCAAACTTTCGTTTTGTCATCCTTTCCTGTATGCAGCCATATCCGGTGCTACCGTTTTTCGTCGCACTTTTTTCTGCTGAGTTTTATCATGACTAGCGCTCGCCTTCTTGTTCACGCGTGGTCTAGCCCGAATCACTAGGGTTCCATTAGCACTTTGATTATGTTCAGATTTCGAGGAGCGAAATGCCGCTTGACGGCGGCGCAACCCGCTTCTGAGTGTAATTGGTTGTGTATTTGAGAAGTATGCACAGAAATCCATCACATCTAAGCTCTGTCAGCCATCTCACACCCAGAAAAGCACTGTGCGGTCGTTTCGTCCTTTCGAGAATCGTCGGCACTTCGCATTCCATCTGACTCCTGTGGAGCTCGACCCCGCCATTCGACTGTTGCCAATCTGTGGTTTAGGCCACTTCGCTATGGGGGGTAGCGACCGTCGTAAGTTACTACACGTGATATGGCACCGCTCACTATCCATTGACTGTCGTGCAGAGAATAGGGTTGCCCCATCACCAAGCGACACACTTACCAAACTTAAACCGCCAATTAACTTATGGCATTATAAGCAGTTTGAAAAGTTTTGACACTTTTCTCTCTATCGATTCATTGTTTGATTCACGAACTATCCTACCGACATTGTGGCGATTGCATCTAATTTTCTGCTTTCCCATAGGTGTCCACTGGAATTGATTTAGTACGAGATAGGCGGGATTCCGTTGGCCAATCGTGTAAGCGTTTTTAGCGACACAGCGCCTCCGCCCTCTGTTACGCGGCGCGGATGGCAACGAGTTGGGTGCAGTTCACTTCAACCATCAACTATGGTCCGTGGATTGAGTTGCTTGCGATCATGACAAGATAATAATTATTATTATTACAATATTCCCGGATCAAAATATCAGATAACGCAGGCTGTGTAATGTCCTCGTTTCGTGCTTCCTTGTCAATGCTGCCAATAACGGGTTCTTTAGGCACAAGGTCACGTTAGTTCGACTGTTGACCAAGCGGTGGCTGATTGCTGCGTGTGGTAGCGCGCCTAAAGTCAATTAACCGACCTCAACATTGGTTACCCGGTGTTCGCACTAGATGTGAGCAATACTATGCAAGCACAAGTGATCAAACACAGTCAATCGTTTAAGATCCAGTCTGTACTGCCTAAGTTCATGATAGATAGAGTAACATCAGCTAGCGTTATACACCCTATCTTTCACTGACAGACCGATATACAGCCGTTTCCGTTGCTGGTCGACCCTTTGAAAAGCACACAGGTTTTGTAGAAATGCTAAGTAACATGCTCAGTAAGGTGACCACCAGACGTGATAGAGCTACCACGATAAGTGAACCAATCGGTGTTCACTAAAAGCTAGAACCCGTAGTGTATCAATCTAGTTCTGTAACAATAGCTTGCACTTTGAAGGCGCAGAGAGCACATGCTGAAGCGTGCAGCGCTACGCGTCAGTCTGTTCAGTAGTGTTTGCATATCCATCACGTCAGACCCAAGGAGAGCTGTATATATGCTGCGATACTGCCGGTGTTACTGTATACTTCATATCTTTGGTCACTTAGCCATGAGGACATTAAACGGTTGGTCGTCTTCGATCACTTGTGCTTGCGAAGTATTGCTTACAGTTGTTAAGGACACCGGATGAGCAATGTTGGAATGTTTTGAACCGCAAACGTTGGCTACGTCGTGTCCCCTGGATGTCTGTTTACTTTTGCCGCACTGTCGGGTGAAATCGCGAGGCGGTCAATCGGTGACGTAGTACAGATGCCTGACGAAATTAACCGAGATACTTGGTCGAGCTAGTACGCGTTGTCTTCGTGTTTGGAGGACATCAGTTATTGAAGACCTTATCTGACATGGAGAAGTCGCTGAGTCAGTGGCGCTGTTGCATTGGGTTTTTTGCGCCTATTTGTTAAAGTTCCATCTCGTTTGATCTCATCTGTCTTTTTCCCAATAACTTACCTTCTACCTCATTTTCCTCGTTATTGCCATATATTGTTACCCTGGATCCACTTCTCAGATCCAAACTGATGGGAAAGATGAATATTTGATCTGCACATGATTGATTCGTGTCTGGGCTCACTGTGACGGTCGTTCAGATGGAGAATCCGATCGTCTCCAACCCCAGCTACCAATGACCGGCTATTTTTAGTGTATCGACAAGATATGCTTATTTATGAAATTCACTTCAAATCAACGTTTCGGTGATGCCAACTTGTTGTACTCAACCGAACTTTTTATTAGCCCATAAATTTATTCAGTTAATACATACCATGTAATCCTTAGTCCGCCCTATTGTTTCTCTGGACATTGTCCGTCTGCGGGAGAAAAAAAGCGAACTCACCCCTTTTGAATCAGTTCTTGTATTGAAGTACTATCCAGTTGTTCATTTGTTCGCGGAGTTTGGCAATTTGGTTGCAGACGTTTCGTCACCAGTTGAGATGACATCATCCCTTCCTGAATTTGCCTGGTACCATCTTTCGTTACCAAACTACAGTCAACTCTGCACTGATGATATCATTTTGATTGGGAACAAAACGTCTGCAACCAAACTGCTAAGCTCGGCAAACAAATGAATAACTGAACTGTCAACCTGAGCTACCGATATTCAGAAACGTTTTAAACGGGAGACCCAAGTGCGATGATCCACGTCGTCATAACAATAACGATTATATATAAGAGGAATCAGTAAAACATACAGTCGTCAGATGCAGCTGTTATGGATCAGATGTAAATGGAAAAAATGCAACAGCGACACGACGGAATGCCGGCTATCTGGTCCGCTTCACGTCTGGAGGGGGCTGAAGCCATTCAGATCTGTTCTTCACTGGGAGAGAAGCGATTTATCATCTTCACTCACAGTGACGAGTATTTTATATCACAGCTATACTCGCAGACGCTTTAATTGTTGTTATTCACGTCCTTGACGGACTTCTGATGAGTCGTCTGGGTAGCGATCTCCGCGCCCTGCGTTCGAGCTCCTGCTCTTGTCTAGGCTTGAGCGCTCGGGTAGTATTCCATTCTATGTATTTCAACTTGCGGTTGCATGGCGGCAAGCATCAGTACCGAATGCTGATTTACTGCAGATAGTACCATTATTATTAATAATACTATTATCGCCTCCGATAAAATATCCCGGCAGTAGACAGCAGAACAAATGTTAGCGAACAAGTTCCTTTTCAGTGGTTCCGCATCAGGCTAATACACTACAAATGAGTGGTATGAACGTAAACATCAGATAAGGGTACATGTTCAAAACCCAGATGGTCTGAGTGACCAAGGTAGGTGATTGGCCCAGGGCGATCAACAGTGTGTTTGTTGTGTGTGGCGTTGTCCACATTATGTGTCCGTGTCACAGGGGACCAGGGTGCAGTTAGTGAAAATGAGTTTGTTCGCTGACATTTGTTCTATTATCGCCTCGTTAGTCAATATCTTTCGTTTAACGTATATACTGCAATGTGTGTCTTTTTATAGCACCTCATTTTATCTGTCTTTCCCAAAGACTGTGGTTTGCATGCTATGTGAATGATGCAGTTAATGGTTCTCTTTAGGACCCCATCTACATGTAGATTTGCTCAACAACCACGTATGCTTCCAGCTGGGTGGTTCGATTAAATTTCGCTCCAGCGTGTTGTTCGGCCGAAGTCTTCCAAAACGTGATGGGTTTCCGTTTGACAAGTATTCTCTACAATAAAAAATTCACGTCTATTTAATAATAATAATAATACGTATATTTCTGTTGATGGGAAAAACTGTGTCTATAGCTGCACAGATCATTTTGTACAGAAGTATCCATGCTCTTGCATGGTGACATGCATAGGTGGTGGAGTATTGGGATATGCGTTTCATGTATTAACATTCTGGTGGCTGGTTGAGACCAAAGCCTAGGTATGAAACATTGTTTAGATGTTTTGGCCCCTTCTTGGAATAGCTCATCGAGGGCTTTTTCTCATGTGAATATAGTCATCATGGTATTTAGATCAGCTGAATTAGAGAGTCTGATTCCAAATGTTGTCACATGGCCTGAGTGTTATTGGTAGTTTCTTCCACAAATAACTATATCTGACCAGGAAGAAATTAGAGCGAATGTTCGTTCTAACCTTCGGTTTATTCATTATAAAGTCTATATTGTGAAACCCTCGAGTTGAGCAATGTTGTAAATTGAATGTAGGCAGGTTGGAATAGGCCTTTTTGTGTAACATATTGAAAAGCAGCAACAAGTTGTGCTTCAATCGTCGGATCCAAAGGGGTTCGAGACGAAGTTTAATGCAACATTCTCGATAACTCATTGCAGTGTTTACCAATCAGTTTGGTAAATGACCTCTGCAGATGCTCCACCGCAATTCTGTCACTCTCCTATTGCCGTATATTATGCTGCGGTATTCGAGGATGGGGCGAGTCAGTAGCCTGAAAAGCTCAACTGTAGCACGAGTGGTGTGTATTTTGTTTGATATCTTGAACATAGACTGTCTGACACGTGCTACTTGGTATTGGGGCTGTTCGAAGAAATTGAAGGTAGACGCGTACCTAATTCCAAGATCTCTCGTGGACAAGTTGTGTAGGGACGTTCATTGTTTAGGGTGATAGATCCTTCGGGGATGCAGCAGCCGTAAGACATGATGCTTGATTTCTTAGCCGAGACGTTCATCACCCATGTGCAACACCATGACTTAAGGGAATGCAAGTCATCTCGAATGAGCAGTAGTGTCTCCTGAAGCTCGTCATGCCGAAGCTTATAGACGACGTGGCAGATGTGACTCACCACTAGATGAAGTCACTGCTTCTTGTCTGTATAAATGTTTGTACCCACTTCGCGGACGTCAGCCATCCACCTCGAAGATTTCCATTGGTCCCTTTTCACGTTGACGCTCCGATCGATCACAATCACAAATAAAGTACCACACCTCCAAATCCAAGGTCCCATCTTAATACATTTGCATATGCCCTCTCACATACACATATTCATGTAAACTTGTAACGTTTCTTTATATTCACATATCATTCGTGTAATTTTGCCAGCATCATGCGTTTGTCCCCGTACCTCGAGTCGTGGGTAATATGCCATTTATTTACTCCCATTGTTTACTCCATAACCATGTTCTGTGGACTCATGTTTCAGGATGAGTTAGTCACTCAATACGTGGGTGATGTGATCAGATTGGAAGAGGCGAATAAACGAATCGTCGATGCGTTGGGCCCTTCAGCTCTGGCTAACTTGAGTTCTGCACGTAAAGGATTCCAACCTCTGGCAGAAACCCACCTGATCCGTTTGGGGATGGACTTAGACTTTGTGATAGACGCTCGTCAAAGCGGCAATCTATCGCGTTTCGTGAACCACTCCTGCGAGCCTAACTTAAAGGCCGAAAGTTGGATTTACGATGGCAAGCCATGTGTAGGCAAGTCTTTCTGCAAATAAGTCATTTTGATCTTACAGTATGCTCCTTACGAACTACTTCACGGCTGTCTGACATTTGATATTTTGCCACTGTTGATGCACGACACGACTTTAAAGTTCGGCCTTTTTGTACAATGGTGCAGTTAGATGCTCTCGTCCATTCTACAGACTTTTTACAGGAGTCCAAATGGCAGCAGCCTGACAGTTCTTGGCTACTCGGCACTGGACACCTATTCGGAACGTTAGCCAATTTTAAGCAGGCCCATTTGTTGCATTTTGCTATCTTCTTGTGATCTGTTGCGACAGTGCCCCCAGTCACGTACCAATTGACGAACAGGAGAAAATCTTTTGTGTTTGACATTTGTTTTTCCGTTTTTATTGTGCATTCTTGGTATCTACTCAATTTTGCTTTGCTCTTGGGTCCAGAGAGCACGGACACCTGTGTCGAGAAGATACCACCTATCACTACGTATGTATAATCTCACACACCCACAGACACTCAGCGTTTTTGCTGATTCCAAGTCGTCTTATGTGGGCTTGGGCTTCTTGAACGTCCTCAATCCATTCACGCTTCACATCACGTTGAGTGCCACCGATTCAACATGCTGATGAAAATCACCATGTAGTTTGAAACCTGAACCCCCCCCCCACATGCTCACCACCGTTTTGGATCTTAAAATCTGCTGGTTGGCGAGATTACTCGCCATTATGTTTGTTCGCACAAAAGTACAGTCCTTCGAAACGATATATGCTAGGATAAGGTTGTTCATCAAATCCTTGAAAGTGCAACACAACTCATTTCCCTCAGATCAGGGTGTCCAAACGTTTTGCAAGGAGGGCCACATTTTGTGAGGCAAAACTATGTCGGGCCATATCTAGTGTGACATTTGTACGAAAAAGTCCAAGCCTGAATTTATTATTTCATGATGAGACCGCGGGCCAGTTGAAATGCTAACGCAGGTCGGACTTTGGACACCCTTGCCTTAGATGCTTTCTTTTGAACTGACACTGTTCCGTCTGGTCGTACAGGCCTCGTTTTATCATCGTCAATGAACAGTGCACTTGAAGTTCACAAGGAGATTCCACACCCTTTCAAGGCGAATTCGGTATCTCTTGTACTGAGCAACAGCTAACTTCAGATGGGCAGCATGAATTCGCCGAGCTTCTGTCACCATGTTTCCCGTACCATTGAGGATTTTAGACGATATTTAAGCTTTTTGTGCGTCTTTTTCCACTTCACGTTTGGTAAGACAAGGAAGTCATTTTTGGCGTTCACCTCATCGCGAGGTCATATCACTGAACCACGTCAGTTATGTGTTGGCGCCACGTGACAAGTTGACGTCTCCCCGGAAGCGAGTGCAAGTCTCGAGCACAAGAAGAGATCATTTTTGGGTTTTAATTACATATTTAGTTTCCGTATTTTCGGCTTACTTTTACGATACTATTTCGTGAATCTTACTCGACCTGGTGCCTTGACGTGATGTGATTTCATAGCGCCTGGTGCTGTTCGATTACCGTACCTGCCATATTCTTGCGCCGTGTAGCATTCACGTTTGTGGTACAAACAATTGGCTACCGTCTAATTTGAAGTCGTTATTCGTCCTACCTTTTCATCTTGATATTTCGCGCTTTTGTGAATGGAGATGCATGCCTAAATCCTATGGTGCTGGGAGCACGCAAAACTTGCTTGTTGCAGATGTTAGTCACCGCCCTTCGAATGTAGTGCTCTGTCATACATAGTTTACGATTCTACTTACCCACGTACCGGTTTTGTCTTCATTGGGGTTTGTCATCTAGATCCACCGCACTTTCGGTGCAATGACGTGTGCGAATGTGTTCAGATAATAGCGCTTTGTGCATCTCATTCTGCAACTCCACCCAGCTCGGTTTCTACCTGGCACGTGCTTCATATCCGGACATTTTTCTTACCATATGCTACCTGTCGCTCATCCTCCGCTCGGTATATTTCCAACTTTGTATTATTTCACCATTCCCCCTATTTTTCTGCTATAACTGATCGGTAACTGTCATTGCCCTGTCTCTAGGTTTCTTTGCCATTCTACCGATCTCCGTCAATGACGAGCTTACAATCGATTATCTCGCTTCACAACTTCTCACTACCGGCCTCATGGGAGCCAGTTGTTTATGCCTGTGTGGCACGGATTCTTGCGTTAGCACGTTGCATTTACCGATTAGCTTCCAGCCAACTGTAGTCCCCACCACCGAGACGATAGCTTTGTCCACTCGCCGCAAATCCAAACAGAAGCCTGAAGATGTAGCCGCTGATGCGACCACCGGTAAAGATACACCGAAGAAGCCAAGCGTAAAAACAGAACCAGAGCCAGCGTCGGTGACAACTCGCTTGGCTGCGGGGGCAATCCACTCTCCAAAGCGGACAGATAGGGCTCTCATTCAACCTGCCAAAGCAGCAGCTCGAGCAGCCGCAGCGAAACGGAAGCAAAGCCCAACTTCATCCACAACTAACTTGGCGCACGACCAACATGCTCTCTTGGGACTGCGGCCTCCGCCACACGAGGATTTTTGTTACAGGTGAGTCTTTGAAACAGACTATTACTATGGGACATTTGGGGCGTATTGAGATGTCGTCAAAAGAGAATTTAGTTCAGTTTAATAGAACAACTATAATCCGGGCACCGGTGTCTTTTATCTATTGTCAAAGATCCAAAGATACGCGTTTTTTACACCAGCTTTTTCCTCTTATCCCCTTGCTTTTTCCATGAAAAGCGAATGTTGTTTCATATTGATGAGAAATTCATCTTTAACGGTTTGACCATCCGAGCCAACAACTTTTGGTACTCGAGGTTTTCTCTGTTTCTCAACTTGGACTTTAATATGAGGTGATTGCTAACACTTGTGCAAATGTTTTCCTCTATCCAACCAAGAATATTTTTGACACATCTCACTTAGCGAGTAACCCGTACCTTGCGGATTCCATTTCATGCTATCAGGTTGGCTCTGTCGAAGGGCGTGTTGACCATACCCTATGAAGTGTTAAGTTAACACCCTACAACAGATGGTCTGCCATGCTCATCTGCGAAGAATCGGACATCACCCACTATTCAATTGTTTGCGCTCATTTGTTGCACTGTCTGTTTCGGAAAGGCGTGCCAGAGGATTCCTTTCATTACTACAACTCGATTTCCGGTGATGTGTATGTTACCATTTTTTCATAACTATTAAGGTGCGACAAATCGCTCTTCTTCTTCTTCTTCTTCTTCTTATGTTTTTGGCCGAAACGCTCACAAATGACTGACATTCCTGCTTACATCAGAGGAAAGTTGTACTATGTCTAGATTGCTTCACCAATGTAGGTATACGCATCGGACATTGTGGTTACGCATTTGCCGGACACAATGCACTGAACATTACCATTTATGCTCCACCTGAACGGGCTTCTACCTCACCGGTTCCTACGAATACCAGATATCCTTTAGATCTCATTTCAAAAGGCTTTGTTGTTGGCCGGTTTTGACACAAATGCTTCCTCAGGGTTGTGCCAAGAGCGACAACAAATATATTAAGCAGTTGTTCACAAGGCCTTTTGAAACGAAAACTTTCGATTTTTTCACTCGTATGCTGCGTCGCTTTTGGTATCCAAATCGATAAAGGCTACTGCACCGGTTTGTATAGCTTGCCATGCTTTCCGGAGTCACGTTAGCACAGTGAGTCCGGTCCAAGGGACTGTCTGCGGTTTCCCTTGGCAAATACCCACTTCCTTCTTGCAATGTGCTTCACCGACTTTCTTGCTGTTTGGCTGTGCTTCTCTGCTTGACGCATCGGTTTTAGTTTGTCCCAACTTGACTGTGTGATGGGACCACCGCAAGTCAATGAGTTCGTTTATCATTTCCATTGACCATTTAGTGATAGCTGGAACCGGAGGAGTGTCGGACCAATTCCCTTACCAACACCTCGCATGCTGATGTGTGCAGCGCTACGCATTAGACTATTCAGATGAGGAAGGCTATATCATCCACGTACACAGGATTTATTAGCTGAGTTTCTCGCGGAAATTGCATTCCATAATATTCTAAGAAACTCGTATTGTTCATTATCGTTTCGATAACGAATTTATAGAGGAGTGTGGGTAACTTTTATTTTCGGTACCCAATAGCTCATAGAATAGCCGCACATCTCATGACCTGTTCGCCGAGAACTTGAATGTAATTATTCTCATTTTGCAATATTACCGAGCAGTGTCCTTTGGTTTATTTATGCCCTAAGATCTGTCATTTTACTCCTGTCTATCCACCCTACTACTTTATCAGGTGTGGAGATGGCGGCGAATTGCTTCTGTGTGACAAAAAGACCTGCCCGAAATCGTTTCACTTGAATTGCCTTGGGCTGACCAGCCCACCGTCTGGAATTTGGTACTGCCCGTGGCACTATTGCGACCGATGTGGACATCCTTCCACTCATCTGTGTTGGCGTTGTCCCAATTCGTACTGCGAACAGCATGCGGACGAGGACAAAATTCAAGTTGATGAGTTGGATGCGGAACGTTGGGCTATCGCTAAGACCGGATTGAACCCAGTCAACACACCTGCCATCGTGTCCAGCTTTCGATGGATTTGTTCCGATCACATTGGGATGAATATCCAGGGTCCTGGGCACAGACCTAAATTAGTCAGCCTCTCGAAGGCCAATGGAGTGGATGCAGGTAGGTCCACTAAAGAACGTATCAACGCTGTGCAAGAGAAACGTGAGAATGAGCAGGCTTGTCAAACTCCCATCAGTGCCAACGGTGTGACTTCCATTGTTGGTTCCCAACATCGCGTTGAACCTCTGAAAGTCGCACTAAAGCGTAAACTGAAGGCTGAAATGGCAGCAAATCGGACTACAGAGTCTGCTAGTGCCAATTCGGCGAATTCGGGCGCCCCTTCGACTGACGGTGCACGCAAAAGGTCAGCTGTTGCAAGCCCCGTGGTGGAAAAAAAGCGACCCCGTCTGAGCAGAGACTCAGCCTCGAAATAGTCATGGACCATTTCGTGTCGATCCATCAATTTACGCAAACAGTTCGGGTGTGAGTTACCAAAAGTTCTGTATCTAAACAGTCATCAGGCAACTTTTGTGGAACCTTCGCACGTTCATTTTATTGTTTGTGTAAAAATTCCGAGGTTCTAGTCCACTCCTTACCAGTCACCCACTCTACCGAACTCATCATGTCACTTCAAAAACCCGGTTCACCTTTTTCAAGAGGAAGATTATATGTGCGTCCATTTTTCGCATTCGACCGTTTTTTTGCGTCGGTTTTTCGTCTTTGTTTCCATATCGTTGAGAAGATCCATAATACACTATCTGCTAGTTCAACGGGATTTAGAATGAACGGAGACAGGATCGATTGCAACGTTGCATATTCAACCGAGCAATCGCAATCGTTCGATCCACTTGAGTGCGGACTTTGGTTTAGCTAGTGGAACTCGTTTATTGTGATGCCCACGTCTGTGGGACGTTCTCATTAAATCTGCTTCCCCTTCTAATCTAGTTATTTAACTCTCCTCAATTACTCAAAAATTCGCGGAATTTCTGCCCGGTCTAATACAAGGGTACCATTACTTTAGCTTTGTAGTCCGGAATATCATATCAGACTTCGCCCCTATCATTTCTGCAGACGTTTTGTGGCAAGTGTACGCGTTGTAGATCTTTTGAAGTCAATTTCCCTATCTCATTCGTAGGCACAATTACGGCGCGTTGAAATGAGCTGAAACGCCGCTGCTCGGTGTTCCAAACGGCCACACCTCAGTTGGAGGGGATCATCTTGCGCACACCCGCTGAATTTCACTACCTCTGCCTATCACTTAACCACCTTACTGTGTTCAATGTGGCTGGAAAAAGGCTTCGCGAAGGATCATGGGCATGCACTAAAGAGAAAGTGCCCTTCACGGTCCACTAAGAGCAGTAGGGTATTATCCCTGCTGGTGAGGCCAGTTTGCCCTTTTTGTAGCTTGATTCCACCACAAGAACCTGCTTCTGATTCACCAGAGTGCTAAGTGGCATCTTGGCGCTCACTATCCCTGAAAGCAGACGCTCAACATGCAGCTGAAAGAAACGCTGACCCATTGTCTGTGCGTCGAGAAGCAAGCCAAAATTTAATACCTAGCTGCGCTCCTGAGGAACCCAAATGACCCGCCTGCGCGTCCAAATCCACTGCAACTAAAACCACCGTATATTACCGTGTATAAGCCGAGGAATTTTGAACAGTTTCTGTGTATGTAGTGGGGGGGTTCGGCTTATACAAAGATTATGCGCAATTTGAAAAAATTCACTGCACACCTACGCGCCTATCTTAACTTAGCACCACTCGCTAGTGACAGACGGTATCCCAGGCGGGGATTTGAGGTGTCTAAAGGTAGACACATTATGTTTGTGTCGAAAATTCTCGGTATAGTGCACATTTGACTTTCGCGACGGATGGTAGTAACAGAAACATACTGATTATACAGAATCCAACATCATCACACACAATAACATTGGAAAAAGACATGATAGACCAGCACGTACCGGTAGGTTCATATATCCAAACGCTGCACAATGATATTAAAATTACTCGAATCCTGCGAGGCGGTGTCTGACATACCCCTTGACCTTACCCCATATTGTCGGCTGTTTTAGCTGTTTCGTGTGACTTGACATCTAATCAATACACTGTCCAGTGCAGTTAAAATCTTTGTTTTGACGGCTCTATGCCCCATTAACTGCGATCATAGCACATTCGGTCGCCAGAACTGACCAGAGTAGCTTTCGCTTGAGAACATTCAAGTGAGTGCAGGTAATGATGAAGTTAAATTATGAGAAATAATTTCGTTTCACTCTTTGCTGCTTTTTTGGGGTCGGCTGATATGCGGACTTACGATTTTGGACAAATTTGGCGTTGCAAAGTCATACTATCAGCTTATATGCGGATCGGCTTGTCCACATTAATATACGGTATATCAATGGGTAACGCTGCGAAGCGGCATATTCAGTTCGTGGTGGAAAGTGTCCTTAGCAGCATCATGATTGCAGTTGTTGAGGGCATAAGTGGTAACCACAAACAGCGCCTAGTTCTACTCGGTGAGTTAACCTTGATTGATGTCGTCAAACAAGCTGCACCTAAATGACTGTTCGTGGGAACCCGAGCACTTAGCCATGATCAGGCCCCGGAGCTATGAACCATGTCCACTCTAGTTTCAGTTGTGGTTGTTGTGTCAGTCTCCGGACGCGTGTAACCAATGAGAGAGAGAAGAGGAACTGGGCGCAGTTAGTTCAACAACCGCGTGAGAGCCATTGCTCCTAGTTCCAAACGTGCAGCAGACATCAACACCTAAGGTGTTCAATGCAAGTACGAGTGCAATCTGTTACCTTAGAGTGCGAATGTTGAACGCCGCTAAAGAAAAAACGGCGAATTGTGGCTTTGTGAGGTGCTGTTGACAATACGGGTCCAGTGCGTAATGCAGGAAGATAGCTGCGGATAGCAGAATTCCAACTAAGCTTGGAATTATAGAAGGCCTAACGATGAAGAAAACAGGTGGGAAACAAAGAAGGGAAGCATCAGCGGCGGTGTGTTCTAGCTTATACACTCGGCTGTAGGCAATAGATAAGGCGACTGCACGATGGCCGATGGGGGATGATGAATTATTCATGGTTGTACGTGAACCGGGATACCGCCAGGAAAACAATTGTGGTTCTCAGCCAAAGTCCTCGGACCAAAAGCCTGACCGCAAGACAGCGAGAGTATGGCACCGATCCGGATGTCATCCCATTTTCAGTCTCCAACCTGGAAGAGGAGGACTGAGCATACTTGACCTCTAACCATTGACAAATCTGCTAGGATTAGCTTATAAGGCGTCGAGGACACTACCCACGACAAATCACTGAAGACGATACATGTAACCAGTGATAAGACGGAGGATGAAGATGGTTCTAACTAAAAGGTATCCGTAATACGCTGTACCGACACTTCTTTGCCACACAACCACTACCAGTCGCGCACGGACTAAGGATACTGCGAGGGTTGCCCGGTCCCCTATATAGGCTCGAACCCGCAACCTCCGAGTTGCAGAGCAGACGCCTTGTCGTTTCGGCCACTGGCCGCACCGCGAGGTCACAAACAGCTAGCTGTCGCGTAACGTTGAGGCGGCATCGACGGGGTAGCTTTCGTACTATAACACTGGGCAACAACAACAAAAATTTATTTTCTATGACAAATACCAATGTCCCTACCTTAAAGAATACACTCCGCTGATCGTAGAAATGTGTTTTAATGCTACCCAGCACGTCAGGTTACAGTGTTATAAGCGAATGATTATTTTCAGTAATATCAAGCCTACGTCGTACGAATTATGTCTAAGTGTACTGGATCACAACACATATGGTATGCAAGTATGTGACAAATACGTTTAAAACATCACTGCAACACTCGCCCATAACTACGGACTGCTGCTTGACACTGGGAAATGATGACTTCGCCGAGATTGTCGCTTGTATGATCCAGCGTCCTCACGTTGCAGAAACCAGCGAAGGTCACCCATCATAGAAGGCGTGTTCTTGCCACTGTAGCGCTGCTTCATGACTGAAATGTCTTGGTGCAAGCGCTCACCATGATCATCACTAACAAATCCGAAGTTCTGAGGGAAAAAGTCAAGGTGATTATGCAAAAAGTGCATCTTGAGTGACATTCGAGCACCGATAGTCCGCAATGAGCTTTTTGTGATGTCTTTGTAGTTCTCTGCCTTTGTTCTGCCTAAAAATCCTGTACGCAGTGCCCTTAATGATCGCAATGTATCTAACTCAAATGAATTCAACTGTTATTCGAGAGCACTGTTTGCCATTATCCGGCGAATATCAGGCCAAATAAGTATCCCTTCTTTGAGGTTCACATCACTTATATCCGGAAACACTTGTTTCAGGTACTGGAATGCAAAACTACCTCGCTTGAGGGCTTTGACGAAGCCAAACCAAGGTTGATGTGCATGGGTGGTAGATAGATATAACTAGGTTGCACAAGAGGTGTATAGTTTACACTCAGTTTCCTTGCAGCCTACTCCGTCCTCTCTGGTCACTTTTCAGTTGCGTAGCGCTGTTGAGTTGCTCCACCGTCCCATAAGCACAAGAAACAGCAATCTTTTGTGAAGCCTCCTTGCATACCCATTAGGAGTTCAGTGACCCTGAAGTTGGTATATATTTTTCAGCAGCATCAAGTATCCGTCGCATACCATCGTAAGTATTTTTCATATCGGCGGCATTCAACAGAGGCACATTTGAGTACACATTTCCATTGTGGAACAGTATGGCCTTAAGACTACTCTTGGACAGGTCAATGAACAAACGCCATTCATCACTGATATGCCTCACGTCAAGCTCCTTCATCAGTCTTTCCACGTCGGAACAGTAACAAAAAGCTTCTCTCGTGTTATAGAAACCGGATAACTTAGCACTTCGCTTTCTGTATACAGTAAACTTAGTGTTTGCAACAAGTAAATAACATTGCTGCAGCTGAAATGCCAGCAACTCGGCCTTGTCTTTAGGCAAGCCCATATCACATACCAAGTAAATCAACCCTGATTGTTCAATAAGATGTAGGTTGACAACTTCAAAGTTTTCACAGATGTCAGAATCAGGGGAAGTTGACGATGCGGAATCACTACTCATCATCAGTGACATGTTCACTTGAGGCACTGGAATGGGTAAGGTGCAATCAAGAGGAACAAGTCGAGTAGCTGATGGAAGATCGGGGTTATGAATTTTGTCCTTATTTCTGTTAGAGGTTCCAATGACACCGGTTAGGCAGAAGTAGCAGCCTGTCGTGTTGTCCTTCGGCTCTCTCCACACCATGGGGATTGCAAAGGACATCTTGCCTTTGCATTTGAGCCACCGAGTCAAATGAAGATTGCACGACACACAAACAATATGCGGCATCCACTTCTTATCCTGATCTCCCAGTTTCATCCCGAGAGATGCGTGGTAGGCAGACTTCAGTTGTGAAGAAACGGGTCTGCACTGCGATTTTGTAGTAAACTGTCCACAGACGTAACAAAAATGATCTCGGTCACTGACACAGTAGCGTCTTTCAGCCATGATCAAGATATCAATTAGAGAAACACAGCTCTCAATGGACTTTCGGTATCAAGTGGATACCATGCCAGGAGGACTTCTTTTCCACGATTACAGAGAGTGAACGGATCAATTACAGGCGAGCACTCGATGCATGTAACACACTGGCTTAGTTGAAATGAAAAACTGATATTAAAAAACCTGCTGTGAGAAACATTTGGTTTGCATATTCGTAATCAGCTCACTTGGTGCTACTAGAAACATCCTCTCATTTCTA